GTAAAAACACCTGGGAGTCAGAGTCACTGAATTTAGAGAACGCAAATACAGTGGTCAGGTTCAGTGTTGGCCTCACGGGGAACTTCGGCTGGGTTCTCATCCGGTTTGGTTTGCAGGCAGAATTATGGAAAAAATTAAGTTGGAGAGTCAAGGTACCGCTGTAAGTTTTGCTACTTTTTAAGGACTTTTGCTACTACACCCAGTCTTCTGGGGAACTGAACTATTAGTCCTCTACCTGCCGGCGTGTAACTACTTATGTCACAGAAAAGTTTCCAAGGAAACTATAGAGATGGGCATTAAGAAAGGTGCTTACCGGAGCTCAAAGACAGTAGGGGGTACGTAAATTTGTATTATATATATATTATGTAAAAATGTGTATATTATAAAGAATTTTGGGTTTAAGGGTCTAATTTTGATAATAGTAAATATTTTTAAAAGAGAACCTCCTACTTTGTCTTATTGAACCGTTTCTAGGCCTCTGTCTTTTTTCTGAGCGCTACTTCACACATGTTTATTTTTATTAACAAATAACTTGTATTAGCAAATGAACTTGTGTTTTTACTGGAAAATAAAACAAGCAAAAGAACCATTTATTGCCCATACCTTTTCCTCTGTTTTTAATATACTAAGCCTTTTTTTGCTGTATTTTTTAAGCTTTTGTTGTGTTTTAAAACGGTGTTATGAAAATGCTTTTATGAAAGACGTAGAGGGTTATAAAAGAGTGTGCACTGTTAACTGTCCCTTCCCATGTTTAGAACCAAAAGTCGCTGCTGTGCTTGTGTAGAACTAGGAAGTTTGATTTTCACTTGAGCAGGATAGGATCTTTGGACCTAGCAAAAGCCGTTATTCTGGAAGGTTGAGCTCTGTCCCTAAGGGAATTCACTTGTCTCCAGTGATCTGTCTGGGCCGCTCCGGAACAGGGTGGTGTGCTTCTACCCAGCAACTCCAGTCTTCACACGAGAGACCCAGCAGCACGCAAACTCTGTTCTGTTCTGTAGAGAAAAGGAGCTGCCGGTGAGCTTTTGTGCCTCAAAGCTGCACTGGGCAGCGGAGTAAAGGAGACTTGGATGTGCGGTTCCCTCCACTTCAACCTGACTTAGTTCCCGACCATCTCAGGGCCAAGGTCATGTGTCTGCGCTTGACGACATGGCTCGTCTCGGAGGACCCAGGGCTGGCGGAGAGGAAAGCCGAACTGACAGAGAATTAGGGGTCAGCGGACCACACCGCGGCCTGGTTCCCAGCGCACTCGTTTGAACCCTTGTAGCACGGAGAACCTTGCGGAACTTTCTCCCTGTCTCCGTTTCCTCCTTGGTGAAAATGAGGAAGTTGTTACGTCAGTGTTTCCAACATACTTTAGCAATTAAATTTTTACAGTGAAATTATATATAAACCCCAAAATAAAACCAGAAGTGCAGAGGTGTTGGGCATTGACAGCGGTAAAGCTGGAGTCCTGCCATCTGGTTCTCCAAATGATCCCTGAGGTATTTCTTCAAAATTCTTGGTTTCTGCAGAGGACAATTTAAGGGTGTCTCACATAGTTATTAGGGCCAAAAAATTCTAAAAATCAAAAAGTGTGGATCACCTACAGCATATAAATACAATATAGGCCAGCGGTGCTTCGCTGTAAAATGGCATTAGAGTCTTTGCACAGCCTGTTTCTTTTCTTTTTTTTTTTTTTTTTTTTTCCCAGTACCAGGCGACCTCGCGCTTGCCAGGCAGGCGCTGTGCCGCTGAGCTAAATCCCCAGCCCCACAGCCTGTTGCTCTAAAGAAGTGACTTCCACCCATTTGTGAAAAGGCGGGTTTTAAATCCTCCCCAAGGCTTGGGTCACTGGAGTTAGATATTCCGCCTCCTGACTGCCCAAGGCATTGTGCCCAACCAGGTGTGAGGGGACATGTGATCCCGTGATCGCTAACAGCCCCCAAGGAGGTGAAGCAGGCAGGCGAGTGGCTGTATCACACCGCCTGCGAGGGAAGGGCTGCCGCTTTCCTCGTCCTCCCTCTGGGACACGGCTGCTGCAGAGAGGAGGACAGAGAAAGGCTGCTGATGGCAGCAGCTGGCTGAGGAAGGCAGACTGTGCATTTGCAGGTGGATAATAGGTGGAAGTTAAGCAGTCTCAGTTTATGTAAATCTTTTTTTTTTTTTTTTTTGGTTTTTGGTTTTTCTCCGGTACCAGGAATCGAAGTCACGACCTTGTGCTTGCCAGGCAGGCGCTGTGCTGCTGAGCTAAATCCCCAGCCCCAGCAATCTCAGTTTAAAATAAAGTTTGTACAGGGTGAAGTTCCAGATGCTCTCAACTGGTAAATCCTCTCCACATAGACTCCTGTCTCCTTTCGTTTACCGGGTTTCTATTCTTCTCTTGTGTGGCTGCAGGAAAGGTTCTAGTTTACCGCAGCTCTGCGGCGCACTCACCCGGACCTCACGCTGCCTCACTGCGCCCACCGCGTGCATTCAGAGTCCCCCAGAACGGGCCGCGGAGCCCCTTGCCTGCAGAGGAGCAGCCATGTGCTCACAGTCTAGCCAGCGAAGCCTCCCTCTGGGCCCGTGGAGAAATGCTGCATGTGTCATAAATTAACTATTAATGAGTTAATTGTCCTTGATGATCAAAATGAAGAGGCTTTCTCCTTCGGCTAGCAGCGTTGAAACGCGGGGGGAGAATCTTTGGTTCTGAAGGTCTTGTTTAAGAGGAAGTCAGCTGTGAACTGTGGAGAATTTATATGGTTGCTTCCTAGAAAGAGCATGGTTCATTCATATGTTTTGAGTCCCTCCTGGTGTGGTGCGGTGTGCATGATAAAGGGAGTTTGGCAAGGCAGGCCATGTGGAGGTAGAGCATTTTTACTGGAATAATTTTTCAGTTAAATAACCAAAATCTTTCCTTCATTCTGCTCTGTTTGTATTTTAATATTTGCCAAAGCCTGTTTGAAATAGTTGTGGCTGACGCCTCCTGCGCTGTGGTTCCACTGTAATATGTAAAGTGGTTATTAAGTACTGTGGTTGTAAATGACTTGCAGAGCCCGTAACATTTTCACTGGCTTGTTCTCTTCTGTGTTCCTATTCCTAGGATATCAATAACAAGAGTGACAGCTGACATTTCTCTTGCTAAGAGGTCTGTCCTGAACAATCCCAGCAAGAGAGCAATAATTGAACGTTCGAACACCCGGTCCAGCCTAGGTAAGATGTACAGAAGTGGTCCTTTCAGACCAGGATGACACATGGAACATTTGTGAATGTCTTTCCAGTTTGCTTTTTTGATCTCAATAGAGAAGTGCCGAATAACTGAGGAAAAGCCTAGCATGGACACAGAAGGAGCGGAGTCCTGGAGCAGTCAGGGTTTCTGTCTGTCTCCCTCCCTCCCTCTCTTCCTCTCTCTCTTCCTCCCACGTCTGCCCTACGCCCTGTCAACCAGCTAATTAGTAGTCTGGTGGGAAGACCCCTCAAGGGGCACTCCTAGTCAGTTACCTCCTAACCACGTGAAACCACTCATCTCCGCCTTGCCTAAGCTTCTCAGTGAGGCTCGTGATAACTGTCATACCTGAGTCACAGCTGCCGTGAAAGGGAATGAGATGTTCAACTTTTTGAGATCTTTAGAAGAGCTAACTAGACAATGGTGTTCTTAGTGTTGCTTCTATTGCTGTTGGTACATAGAATAGTCACACCTTTAATCGACTATTACATCCACCATTAATAACACACAGGGAGTTTAAACATGTCTTTTTTAGGCTACTAATCCAAAATCACCCTACAATTCACCATGAGAGAGAAGAAAAGGGTGCGAATGAACAGGGTATGGGCATTGACATTGTTCTCCTGGTAAATCGCATTGCTCATTCTGAAAGCTTGTTGGACTCTGCACTTGTTAGAGAGAAGTAGAGTCCTTCCTAAGAATCTCCTTTGCTTTGACATTCTGAAGGCAACTTGTTTTAACTAAAAAAGGCAGGGCTCTTCCATGCTGCTACATTTTTTAAAAACCACTGAAATGGGCTCTATAGATGATGTAAAACTTAAAAACATTAGTTTCCAAAATAGAGTGCACACTCCAACATCTCACCAAGGGTCCACTGAAGACTGTGCCTTGATGCTGCTTCGGGAATTATGCAGGTGAGAAAGAGAGCATCTTGTCTGTGTTCCTGCTAAGGTTAGCACATGGTAATTGCCAATAAATACATGCAGGATGACGGTTGCTTTGTGAGGAAATGCTACATATCCCAAATGAAAGAATTGTCAATGTTTGTGAAGGGTAGATTAACGGTTCTTCTTTGGAACTACGTTTAGAGCCTTCAACAGAGTAAAACATTCTCACAGGAACAGTATGTTTGCCTTCAGCAGGTGACCATGGCAGTATGGGTGGTAGATCAGACGATCTGAGTAAAGTCAAGTCTCATGAGTGAAAAGGAAATTAAGTTAGGTTGAAGATTTCTCAAATAAGTGTCTGTTCTCTGTCTTACCTTATGCCCTCCCTCTGACTCCTCAAAGTATCTTTAAACCACTCTTTCCTCTGATTTATGAGAAATTAAGACACTGAAAAATGTAAGTGAAGATGACTCACTGCTTTAACCATCTGCACTGCCAAGCGGTTTCATGAGTATTCCCTGAAGGCAGTCCTTACAATCTAGTCACCTGTCGCCCGAGTCAGTGGGGTGGGTAAGTGTACCTTAGGTCACTCATTTTTACCTTTACTCTGCAAAGTCATATGTTCACAACCGTTGGAACGCATATGGTGGTTACTATAATAGATTATCATTGAGTCCATTTATTGGCTTGTTAATGCATATTTATAGATCCCTTCATCCAGTGTTTACTGAGCATTTGTTATGTGCCCTGCATTATGGTAGACTCGGGAAATGCAGGCATAAATAACTAAAGCAAAAAGAAAGAAGAAACAGGTGGTAAAATACTGTAGGATAAGGAAATTACAAAAATCTAGGGGATGAAGAAGAAGGGTAGGGTTAAGAGGTATGTGAGAAAATGTCACAGGAGTTTCACTTGAGCTGGTGGATCTTCAAGGCACACAGGAATGTACAGAAATGGGAGGGTGTGGTGGGGAAGTGAACAAGGATCAAGATGCAATATATTATCTACTGATACCAGTGAACATATTTATTATGTATTGCAAACATATACTACACATAGAAAGAACTTTGTGACTAAGAAACAATAAGATTTGTGCATAGCAGGCTTAGTAAAGGAGAGTAGGGTATGGTTTGAGAGCAAAGAAGAGACTGAAAAAGTAGAAGAAAGCCAGTCTGTTAGGGAGGCAGTGTACCTTGCTAAAGAGGTACGTGTTAATTACTTCTCCCTGGCGCCCAAAATTCAGAAAGGAAACGTTTATTTAGCACATAGTTTGTGGAGGTTTCAGTCCATAATCAGCTGGCTCCAAGGCAGAGTGGCATGGTGGGAGCAACAGTTTAGGGTGGCAGAACACAACAAAAGCAAAAAGGGGGGAAGCAAGCCTCTTTTCCTCCTTTATATTTTATACAGCCTACCTGCCCACACCATCTCCGTGCCCTCCTCTTGGCACGGGATGAGGATGTTGACTAAGTAAGGACTCTGGCCCCTGCTGGGTCACTTGGTTAAACTTCTAAACTTCTCAGGTTGGCACAGTCTGTTCACACTTCTCCCGTGCTTAAATACCGTACTTGCTCCCTAGGCCCATGGCAACGTTTCAGGGAGCTTTATGATACACTCTGTGAAGTGTTTATAATTTATAAATAGCTGTTATACTGAAAATGTTTTCCATGGTCGAATAAGTTTGGAAATTAAGTAAATAGTTGGCAGTTTTCGTCACAGTAAGACTTCTTAAATCGTTTAAAATAGAAAGCCTAATATACATTTGGAATTCCACACAGCACCTTCCTGGCAGGCAAGCGCAAGATCCTGAGTTCGATTCCTGGTACCAGTAAAAGAAAGAAAGCAAAGAAGCTATTCTCATATGAAACATATCCTTTGTATAAAACCCCTTTCTTTCGTAGGAAGTCACGTGGGGTTACTACTTGAGGGTATTCATTTGTGAAATGGGCCTGGGGAGCAACTACAGTACTTAAACAGGGGAGAAGTAGGAATAGATTTGGTTTAGATCGCTGGTCAGACGCTGGAGGTGTGGGCCCAGCTAACCTGTGATCAGGTTATAGGTGTATTTATCAAGGGCCTCCAGCATCATAGCCTATGACTGTCCAGAGTCCCATTTGCCTGGAATAGGATTACAAAAACCTCCATTGGTAGTCCTCGGAAAATCAGGTAACCAAGGTTGTTTGGTTTGGTTGAGGTTTTTCTTTCCCTTAAGAAAATGATAAAAATGTATTTTTCTTCCTCGTACCTATAATTTACTTATTAAATTCTACGTACATATTATCCAAACGTGGGGCTCACCCCAGCATGCAGCATGGCCCTCTGGCCTCCCGCCATGTTCTAGCCCAGCTCCACCTTCCTGCCTTGCCGGAGTGCCACTGCCCGTAGGTCGTGCTGGTCAACAGTAGATTGCCTACCTTCTTCACCTGTCAGAAACCACACATCCGTTTGTCGCTGGCCAGAGTAACATGGCCCAGATATTTCCAGGTTGCTTAGACAGAGACTGGCTGTGTCTTCGGGTTCTTGTATTGGGGCAGCCCAGTTTGCGTCGCTGCCCTCGTCTTACTTCAGAAAATATTATGTATCCAGATTCGAAGTTAAAACAGTATAGATTTCTGCTGGTATAGCGCTGGCCAGAGCTCCCTTAAACCAAACGGCAGGTTAATAAAGACAACAAATAGAGCACATACCCCGTCATCCCAAGACTGAAACTTAATATGGTAAAAATTGACTTTAATTTCCAAACTTTTTCAGAAAAATTTCTTTTTTTTAAAAGTGTTTCTGACCTGCCCGAGAAAAGGGGGAAATATGTTTATTGTTACTAGCGAATGTAGAACATAATATTGAAGAATTTGTTGAATAAGCCTACTTGTCCTTAAGTTGTATCTTCAAATCTAGTCACCTGGCAAAGCAGCATGCAGTCTCTCTGGCCTTTGGTATTAGGTGTGAAAAAGGATAGGTGTGTTGGCTCTCTAAATTCATAGTGTTTATTGTAGGTTACTCATTAAACATCAGTAATTCTATAGGAAGTAAGAGTTTTTTGCTATTAGCTCCTCCCAAATATTTACATGATAATTGAGTATTTATAGTCCTGCATTCCCTATCCATCCTTTTGGTTAAGGAAGGTAATTTTTTGGTGGATGATGTAAACTTGAATTTTTTTTTATTATTATTTTTTTTATTTTAAAGAATAAAAGAAGGATAACATAATAATAGGGGGGACTTAGCAAATTACAGACAAAATGGTAGGAAATTATCAATGGTTATCATTTTACATATTATTGTCTACAAAATAGTTTCTCAGGAA